CTTTGGGATGTGGTGGAACGGGAGCTTCGTGCCCTGGATGTGCATCCCACAAATCTCCATCAACTGCAAGATGCTATCCTATCAATATGGGCCAACTTTTCTAAAGAATGGTTTCAGCACCTTGTTGAATCAATGCCACGTAGAATTAAGGCAGTTCTGAAGGCGAAAGGGGGTCAAACACCGTATTACTATGGTGTTCCTAATAATCCTTTAGGTGAGTGTATACCGTGATGGATGGAAGTACAAGTCTGTGCACAAATCGTAGGCAGCCAAAGAAAATAGCATTTAAATGATCCTTATATTGGTGTAAAACTATACTATTATGTCTGTCAAAGTGTGTTAGCTTAGCCATTTCAAAACCTCTGCTAAAATCACCCCATTATTTGATGCCATCCAATACACCCATGTATTTTTTGACTCGACTACAAGCACACCTCATATAGCTAATCAATATCTAATTTATTCTTTTTAACTAATTAAATTCATTAATTAACTGAGCTGGTGGTGAAGTTTAACAAATACGTGGAATGGCTGAGGTGCCCCTGAGGAGAGGTTGGGGAACTGAAGCGAGGTTCCTCTAGCCATACAACTAGATATCAGTAACTTTTTGGAGAATAGAAGAAATCCTTACTATTTTTTATTGTGTTATTCTTAACTTGCATATGAACTAATGTTAAATTGTGTTTTTTATTCCGAGCAAAAGTATACTTACTACCCAAATAAATAGCTGTAAACATGTCTTTTGACTGCCTTAGATTTTTGCAGAGTACTGTACCTTAATTACATTAATAAACATTTATAAAACATACACAGTGTGGCTGGATTAGGTGCTGGGAGGCCCTGGCTGACTGAGTGAGGAGCCATTTTTCCACACATTCACTGTATTGCAAGCCGCCCTCAAAAGCAAACTTTGCTGTGACTAACGGCTAAGCATGAGCACAAAACACAAGAACATGTTTTCTTTGGAACATATACTAGGTGAGACTGCGATCCAGTGTCTGTGTAAGAATTTCTGACAAGAACAAGAACACTGTATTGGGGGGATGTAGAAGCACAACAAACTGATCCTTCCAAAGTTCAGTGGGTTCTCTTTTAATATATTACTGGTCAGGTATGAAAAAATGGGAAGAGGTCATCAAAAAACAAGGCCATTAATCAAGGGAAACCAGGAATCGTGGTCTTCTTCGGGATCAGGAGATGAAGTGAGGAGGAGTGTGGTATCCAGGGAGGTAACCATCAAGATAGACAACAAAAGTAACCAGAGGGCAGAAGCTGGGGGTTTGAGACTTTGATGCAGGTCACACCAGACCCCATCTTAGGGTCCATCTGACTCTCCTTTTATTAATGATAAATGGACAAAGCTTTGGGGGTCAGTAAACTCCATTAGAAGCCATTACACAATGCTGTAAGCATTCTGAATGATCTGATGATCTTTTCAGTGCAGTGAACAATGTTTTTGGCTTTTGTTTTTGCCTAATCAGTGGCTTGTTACTGTTTCTAGACTGCTGATGGTACAGCTGAGGGAATCTAACCCTGAACAGAACGTACCTCATAACTTTTCAAGGGGACAGTAGGTGAATACTGACTTACCCCAGTCATTTGTTAAGTAAAGCTTTCTTTTGCAGGACATTTCCAGAACAAAAGAAACATCTGACCTGAAATCAAGGAATGGACGTTATCTTCTGCAGGTTGACATACGTGCAGTGACTCACAGTCTGCCTCTTTGACTTCCTTGGCTCATCTTGATCGTGTTGCTCTCAGAAGAAACATGGAGTCCGAGAGACAGACAAGATCTTCAGAGGCATATTTTCATGCCTTCCTGTGGGACTCCAGTGAGTTCAGAGCACGGCTGCAGCTGAAAGTCACAGAACTCTGGCTATTTCCATTAAAGGCTTGTCCTTCGCCCCCTAAAGGTCAAACTCACAACACCATAATCCCACTGGGCTATTACATTGTGGAACAAAATTGCACAGCAGTGAGAAGCAATAACAGTAATTATGTCCTATATATCCCAAAAGGTGTTGTGAGTTGTCTTTTGGTATTAAGATTCCTGAAATAGGGCTGCCTTAAATCCAGTGCATCAGTAACTCTGATTGCACCCTAAGCAGGTATCACTGCACTAAAATAATATCGGAAATCTTTGTTTTGATAAAATGATAAGTTCAACTAAGTCAACCAATCTAAGCAACATCACCAATAAATAGTTTTGTACTACTTTACTCTAGTTAAAGTGTAATTGGACTAGAGCAATGAGACATATTAAATCATGTTTAATAGGCAGCGAATATCGCTGAACATTGAGGGAAAAGCTGTATTTAAGTCGACTGGCTCGTTTAGTCCGGCACCGACCGAGTTAAGGGACACGGTTGGCTTGATTTGACAGCGGGTGAAGCAATGTAAAAGCAGGACCAAGCAGGAGAGGTAGGTGGGTTCTCTGATAGCATCTGCCACGGCCAGATCGCTTCTGATCCGCAGAAAAAGCACTCTCTCTGGTGTGATGCGTCTATTTTTTTCTTTCATGGGTTTTAAAGAAGAAGAGATGATATAGGAACAAGGTTTCGGGAATTAAGCGTTGCGCAAAAATACGGCAAAAGTTTGTTTCTCAGTGCTGAACCTGGGAGTATTTTTAATGACAAGACAAATCCTACGGATCTAGCATTTATCGTATGAATCAAAAGTCCTACACCTCGCATGCTGTACGTGTTGTGTGGGACGCAGAGGAATGCAAGGATAACTTTTAAAGAGTCAGCTTTCAGTCACTTCTGACCAGCACCTAGGGAACACAACGAGGTACGTAGCGTCTTCATATCACTTTGGTGTTTTTTTACTGCCAGTGTGCGATGAACACTTATAACCTAAAGTAACGATGACTTTTCGCTGCTTTTCGTCCTTGTATAATCCGGTGTGCTTCGAATGGGATGATGTTAGTGTGTGTTGTATGAACCGCAAAAGTAAAATAAACACGCGAATATAAATCGACGATAACACATGCATATATGTTAATGTGTGCGCATTTTAAGAAATAAAAAACTTTAAACAGTGTGCTCTCCGGTTCTTTGCGGTGAACGGAGGTCTGTCCAGTGGTCCCTGGTTGTAAAAGTGAAAATGGCAAGGAACCGCATTTTGAAATCACTGTCGGTATTTATAATTCATACGCTTATATATAATGAATGAATGCCGAGTAAAATGAAAAAGGATTCACCCGCTCATATATAGTAACACATTATTGTGTTTTTTAGAGTAGGCTTAGGGTACGTAGCTTTTAATTTTTCTATGTTAGTAATATAAAATAATTATACTATTTACAGGAGACACACTATGCAACAGAATGGTGTAACTATGTGTAATTATGTAAAAACTAAAAGAAATGTGTTGTCGACAAGCCAATGGCCCTGTGTTTCCTATGAAATATTTAAGCATTTTAAAACTTGCCTAAGAGTTAACGGGTTTAATGGTCTGTCGGTGAAAAGCGACAGAAATAGAGAAGAAGGGGCTTTGTAACAGCCTGTTCAGTCAACGATAAAATCAAATGGGATGGCGAAAATGCAGGACAAACTCCCAGGGGTGCAAACTGCTTTTAAGGCCAGAGGACGTGACCAAACCCGCGGTCTACAATGGGAAATACTGTCCCTGGTATCCGCTCTCATTTCCTCAGTTGTCAGTCTCACAGTAATTGTTTCTTGTAGCTTCTGCGTAATATTGTTCAGACGTAACAGTCCCTCACGTTCCTGAATAGAAAATGCCTATAAATCTTTAAAAGTATGCAATTAAGCTGAACAGCTACTGTAGGTAGAAACCTGGAATATGCCAGTCAGGACACGAATAGAACGCAACAACATCTGGAATCTCTAATTATGTTTCCACGAATGGATATCCAAAATCAGAATTACAGGTTTGCCTCTTGGTACAGTTCTTTACCTTTAAAGTTCAGCCTTGACACATTTCAGAGGTGTTTCCACTGGATTTGATTAGATGTGCATTTTTGAATCAGGTGTTATACAGCTTTTAAAATGACATCTTTGCATTGTTAGAAGACACGCAAATTAAGGCAAGGTGGCTGGTTTTCTCGATTTATAAAATGTTTCTGCCATGTGGCACTTTGGAACCAGCCCAGCCTGCTCCAAATTCACCCCCAGAGCCTTTGATCCCCACTTGAGGGGTGTCTGCCACATCTTCTGAAGTGTCTCACCTGGGAGAAGATCCAGCTCCCCTTTGGCAGATGAACTGAAGATTGCTGGACACAGAGGTAGATAGTTCAGGTCCAGAAAGTAAAAATCCAGATCAAGTTTTTCTTTTTTTCCCCTCAACCAATCTGTTGAGTATAAAGAGTCACAGTCATGAAGTACTCAACTGGTTTGTTGAAACAAAATCTTGGTCTGGATTTTTACATTCATATGCGAAAGATTCTCTGGAGCTCTTATCTCAGTCCCCTGCCTTGTGCCCTGTGATGCACACGGTGTCCCCAGCTGTGTACCATGCCAGACACAGGCTTCCATTCAGGGTGACCCCTTCCTGAACTTCCTGGGAAAGGCTGTAGGCTCACCAAGACCATGTGCAGGAAGAATGGTAGTGCAAGAGGGATGGATGGATAGATGCATGGATGGATGGATGGATGGATGGGCTTCAAAACACAAGGTGGGTGGAATTATCCAGCACTTCCAGGCTAACTGGTGTTGTCCGATTTCATCTCATTTGTCTGGTTTCCATGGGTTAAACAGATGGTCCTGGAATATTCAAATGGTCATTATTTTCATGGTCCTCTATCACCTTGTAACTTCCTGCCCTGAGAGCCTGAGCATGACTCTCTAATGAAAAACTGACTATAGCATCACCACTGCGGTGCCTGGATGCGACGTGTTGCCCGATTTTGTAGCCTGGATACCAGCTCCCAGTTACCAGAGTGAGAACAAAAAGGCAAAGTCTCATGGCAAAATGTAAATACTGTCCAGAATACAGCTGCTTTGTGTCACCGAGTAAAAGAATCTCAGCCAAATGAAACTGTGCTAATAATCCCATACCACAATTGTCTGGAAATCTGTGTGTAGCCAGAGGTGGATCATTCAGGACCAGAATGTAAAAATCCAGACCACAATTTTGTTTCAGCCAACTAGTTGAGTATTCTGTGACTAGGACTCTTTAAATTGAACTGGTTGGTTGAAACAAAATCTTGGTCTGGATTTTACTTTCTGGACCCGGACTATCCACCCCTGGTGTGTACATCCCTGTCAACATTAAATTACTGTCATTGAGACTGCTTTAAAAAATTGTTTATGGGACCCTATACCTACAGCACTTGAATTGAAATATGCATAGATTTAAAATAAAATACGCACATTTATTTGGTTATCTTGTGCAGACTAATTTACTGGTTTATACGGTCATTTATAAGCCCATACAGCTGGTTGATGCTTCCCAGGTTAAGGACCGTAGTCCACAGTACAACAGCAAGACAGCTCCTGGGATGGAACCAGTAACAATCAAATGTCTTTAGGCACCATCGGGTTGGTCAGAAACGTCTGTGGACCTGAGCTGAGTGTGCAGTAAGGGAATATCAGGTATCACTCAGGCACTGTTTAGGTGGTACTCAGATAGCGGCTGGGTGGTGTGTCATGCCCACAATGACAGGGAGAGCGTATGCCTTAAAAAGGCTGACAGAGCAAAGCCACAGCGGGAGGGTGGGGTCCAACGTGGGACCTGCCGGGTGTCCGCACCACGTGCAAAGGAACCGCCTGCAGCTGGTGGTTCTGGGAGGAGAACAGCGGCCGACCACATTTGATCTGCCTTGATTAAATGACACTCAGCTGCTGTGTGCTAATGGTCTCAAGGTGGAGTCCGCAGGATATCAGAACCTCCTTCCATATTTAATGCTGGGCCACGTTCAAGGAGACGGATCTCCAGAAGAATCCTTTCATTATGGTCACGCTTACTTGCATGACGTAGCTCATACAGTAGATATTAATGCACTCACTCATACTCGTGGCTGAATCACCTTAGTATGACCCGGTGACAGTCTACTGATCACCCTTCATCCCTTGACTTTTTTGGGCTGTTGTCTTGGACCGTTCTGGACTTGCCGCTTCCTGCATTCTGTCTGGCTTGTTTTCTTGCAGATGCTCTTGGTGTTAAAAGAACACGTCGCTCTTACATCTTGACCTTGAAGCAGCTCCTCCAGCTCTAAGCTTCCACACTCCTTCTCCCTTTTGTACAGTTTGGACTTGCAGCACATTCCTTAACGTGCTCTTCGGTGAATTCCAGCCAAGTCGGTGTGCTGGCACCTGAACGATGGGGGAGATATGAAGAGAGTGAAATGGGGCACGCAGATAAGTCTCGCTGTTGCATTAATTTAAACACCACGTTCATTTTTCATAGCTAGACTTTTTCACTTTATTACTTTGCGAGCTAAAAATACTCCACATGAGGAAAAATGGACCACAAATTGCTGGTATGCTAACATACACCTGGCATCAAGCTCCATTTAAATGCTGTTTAATGACTGGGGATGGTTTTAAACACCAGTAAACATTTTTGTGCCCCCCAGTCTGAGGACATTGGGTCAGCTGGGCAGGAGGCTGTTAGATGTGACAATCTGGTCAGCGTTTTTAATTTAGTTTGAGGGGTGTTTCCTAAGACCTGGAAATGCAGCTGCGTGTGCAGGGGGAGCAGCTGGACGCAATGGTGCTGAGTTTAGCCCTGTAATGGGACCGTGCCTTTTCTCTCTGAAGGCGACGGCTACATCCTATGCCTGCTGTTGACGTCAGCCCGGGACGGATCCCGCGAGTCTCAGATTTCCCTCTGGGTGCTGCTCTCTGCACCTGGTATCAGTCCAAATGCGCTGGACCCGAGCCAGCGTCCTCCGGGAACGCACTGCCACGCACGTTTCCTTTGAGGCACATCGCAAACCAGAAGGATGTAAAGACTCTGCTCAGCGCGGGGCCTGACTGTTCAGACTTCACGCTACAGGAACGTCTTCTTGAACCTCAGATTTAGCAGATGAATTTCACCAATTCGAGGTCCATGTGTCTGATGCTGTCTGCGGGACTGGTGTTGAGTGGAGTGGAGCAGCTTTGGGCAGTTTAGTGTGTGGCTCAGAACCTGACGTTAAGGTTGATTATGAAATGGGCTGGAGCGCTGTGTGGAAATTATATATATAATGTTAATTACCTCTTTCCAGTACCGTCAGCGTTAATGAGGCCCAAACCCTTAATTTTAGATTACACGTTTTACATGAAATGCATAGCTGGTGATCCTAGCTGAAGTTACATGACCCATCTGCTAACATAAACTAAGTAATTACTGTACTGGAAAAACAAAAACAACCAAAACAATGTAATGTTTCCATTCCCCAGCTAACATCTTTCTGTATTGTCATACCTATGTACAGTGGTATGCTTTTACTATCCTGAGTCTTAGGTTATGTACCTGACTAAAGAAGATCCCGTAGACCCCACTCACACCATTTATGTACTGGAATATTTTTACTGTAGTATTCTACCAGAACATTAACCTCCATCTATTATGGTTCTGATATTTGTCAGCAAGCAACACAATGCTGAAAAACCACAGTTTCTCAACTGAAAGTTAACAGACAATGGTGGACTCTTTCTCTGTTCTTATGATAAGGTACTTTTACATGGCTTTAGAGCTCTTAATTTTGCTACAGGTGAATACAGCTCTCATGTCTGGCCTGTTTAATCACTTCATTCTTCCAAGACAGTGGAAGTCCTAGAGATTCATGAAGAATACATTATTTTAAAACACGACCCAGAGGTTTCTCTAAAAAAAGCCCACACAGATAGATAGATAGATAGATAGATAGATAGATAGATAGATAGATAGATAGATAAGTTTATTGTCATTGTCATAAAACAACGAAATTGAAGTGCCTCTTGTGTACAACATTCATCCAAGATAACTTAATAAATACGTAAATCCTCATACATTCATTCTGGCCCCTCCTCCTTTGCCCCCACACCCCTTTCTGTCACCCTTTCTAGTTACTGTACATGGAATTATGTGAAAGGATTTAAAAAAGACATTAATGAGTATTTGGGTTTGTGTCATACTCCTCCATTAGAGGAGAGATTTGTTTACTGTGTTTGCATTTTGTTTTCTTTGTGGTTAGCGGCTGAGTGTGCTAACTCACTCTTTAGCTTAAAGGCAAGAAAGCGTGACGAAGATTTGTTTTATCCGCTGGGCATTTTTCTGGAGCTCTTAATAATTTCCAGTTTTACTGGCACATTCTTCCCTAATCCGCTTCGGTGCCTGGCACTTCCAGCTGCTTGGCTGTGTGGATTTCCGCCTCATCATCACCGATGACCAACTAGCTTCTGCTGATGATGTCAGACCCCCAACCACCAATCAAATGTTTCCTTAATTTAAGCGAGTGTCCAGTCAAATGATAGAAGCCTGAAAGTGACTCCTGAGGACTGAATAATGTAGGAGTTTTACCTCGTCTGAGAGAAAAATTGACTGGGTCACGTTTGACCTAACTTGCAAACACAAGGACTGCTTTACATTGTGTGACTCACTTTGTTAGCAGCTAGTTGAAGTTTGATTAAGGATTTTTGTCAATTTCAATAATGACTCTTTTATTGATCCCTAGCAGGGACATTTTTTTTTTTGCCTACCCCTTCTTTGGTTGCATGACACACATATAAGAGAGAGAGCAAGCTTGGCAGCAAAGGGAACCTGTGGAGCTGGGGGTTAAGAGCCTACAGACACGACTTTCCTGCTGAGGCTGGGCTTAAACCAGCAACCTTCTGCTCATAGGCACAGAGGCTTAGCCTGCTGATCCACACACTGCTCCTGTGATTGCCTTTAATCTACTATCCTTATTGCCCTGTGAGGCTACAATGGATACGAGGTTTAGTTAGTTTATTGTCGTTGTCATTGTACCAGGTACAATGAAATTGTAAGTGTCATCTAAAACAGTGCATTAAAAAAGAGAGAGGGCATATAAAAACAGATAATAAAACAATAATTAATTCATTCACGCACACACACACACACATAAACATACATTCGAACATCATTGCAAGGGGTTGCAAGATGGATGGGTAGCTGGAATTACGTTACCTATAGAACTACTGTGACAGATGTACTGCCAGGTGTGTTTGTGTGCTAGGTTGCATTAAAGCCATTGGCTCTGTTTCGCCCCAGGTCAGCATGGGGGCTTATACAGCCACCCTACTCCTGATGAGCATGGGCCTCCTGACCATCCGTGGCTCCCAGAGGTCCACACCCCGAGTCCGCCTGTCCTTCAAAGGTGAGCCTCCATCATACATTTCGCTGCGTATTCAGGTCCAGCTCCCACTATTTTTTCCAGTCTTTTGTAACCAGGAAGTTTCCAGGAAGCGGCATGAGGAAAACCACTCAGGTTTTCCATAGTGTACCTACAATGTTCCTTAACACTTGCAGGACATCCACTCTCTGTCTTCCCAGTGGAGACAATGGGTCTGGAGAGAGGGACAATGAGCCTTCAGTTAGTGGTAATTGCGTATTATGTTTTCCAAGCTTGTGGATAAATATGTCGATTAAAACGAATGCGCAATAATTATAATAATTGTCAGTGCTGTCACCACTCCCTTGCGTAGCTGTAATTAAATCTTGCTCTGAAAGATGACCTGTACAAACAAACTCTTAGCACGGAAGAGCTTTACTTGCGGAGATGTCAGTCCCGCATGTAAGGAAAGGCATCGTTTTTGTTGAGTGTCGCATAGTTCAGATGTTACCGCTACTTTGCACGGTAAATGACATTTACTGTACTTGTTATCACTCATTGTAGTCTTGTAGAGCCAGCAGCATCTGACACAAGATCTCCCAAGCCTTTTGATGCCAGCAGAGATCTGCTGTCTGCTGTGTGACCCCAGGCATCAGAAAAATTCAGCATGAGGTGATTGACAGGGAGATAGTGTGGGACAGAGTTGGGAGAAAGCGGCTCGTCTCTGACTCGTATAACAACAGGCTGGTCCCAGGATAGGAGGCCATTGAACACATATATAAATAGACCTGGTGGCTGCTTAATTTACCTCAGCGACAACCCCCAGAAGATCCTTCTCCTGCAGCCTGTGCTGACATGGCAGGCAGATGTGCCTCTTATGTGGTTACTCTCACTAAAGCAGGTCTCCGCCTCGTGGTAACTTTCAGGTTTACCGCAAGTTTTGGAGGGAAGACTTGTCTGCTGCGTCTCCTCTCATCATCGCATTCATACTTTGGTAGGAAGGTCACACAGCTGTGTTTTCTCCTACAGCGGGCTTCATGTTTGCTGCGGGCGTTGTCCATGTTGTGGGGGCTCCTCTGCTGACTCCTATATTCCATGTCATCCATCTCCCTCCCTCTGCTACCTGCGCAACTTTCCTCATCCTCCCTCACGTCTGTATGTCAGAAAACCTCCATTGAAATATAACCAAGAGCCACGACACAAGACCAGCTGTGGGTAGCAGATCACTCCGGAGGGCCTCGGGCAGGAGTGTTTGATATTTGATAGACAAGAAGAATAATTAAACATGTAGAGACAAATAATAGTAGCAGATAATAGTTAGAATGTTTGCTGGGATCATGTGGAAAGCGATGCCTCATACTTTAAGTATATATGAGTGTGTTTGAGTGGATATGTGCACAAGAATGATACTAAGTGATTAAGGATCCAGTTGCAATAAATATTTTGCATGTTAAATCACCGATATGCTTAGAAAACACCTCTAAGATTAACAAATTTAATTAATTTAACTAAAGCAGCCAGAGGACAGCAAGGGTTAGAGGACGCCTTCATAACATGGGCTTATGATAGAAAACCAGAGAAGAACTGTTTGGGATGTGTAAGCAGAAAAAGTGATGTGGAAGCTGTGCAAATCTTTTGTCCCTCACTGAGCATCAGCACAAGCCATAGAAGGAAAGTTAGCCAAGCGAAATCTCCTCCGTCTCCAGCCCAAGTGACCAATGGGGGAACATGATCCAAGTTCACACAGTCCTGAATTCAACCCTACAGCCTTTATGTCAGAACTGACTCATGAACGCAGGCAGAAACTGGCTGGGGATCGCAAAAACATTCCGTTACACTAAGAGTGGTGGAGGTTTGGGATAAGCAGTGGAACGCAGTCGTCCTCCAAGCAGCACAAAGCCAAATAAACTTTTCATCATAAAAAAATCCAAGTGAAAAGATGTTCCGAATAACTACAGTATGTTGTGATTTATGTTGTGATTTTGGACTACATTAAATATAAACCAAATCATAAACAGGCAGTGTTTGACCTCTCATGGTTTCATAATTGACTGAAACCACTTTCAGATTGTTGACAGTCATTCAATGGCCGTATAAACCCGGTTATCACAGCCATTACACCAGTAACCTGGTGCTCTGCACACTAATCGTGTCGTGTTGGGCAGTGTCCCTGAAACGCCCAGTAACCACTTTAATGCAGTTGAAATGTATTTTATTTCCACCCTTGGTCTCTGAGTCACCAAAAAGGAGATATTTTGTTACTCTACACTGCACTGAATCAGTTATTTGGTGTATTCCTCAGTATCTCCAGGGGTGTGTTATCTCTGAATTACGCACAGTGTCATGATGTAATCCTGCCTTTCAAGCTTTTCATTTTGGAGGATATCAGAGGTACGAGGGTTTTCTTTAACCTGTTATTGTTGTCTGAGTTTTTCATTCATAGGCCCAGAGTTCACTGTTTGCCCATTTAAGTGGAGGTATAAGTGATATTTGACTTTGGATTACCAGTCATTACTGCTGATGGTGCAATGTGGATTTTTTTTCCTTTTGCTTATTCAGAGAAAGGAAATCTTCTCACATTTAATGTTGTGCCATGGCGAATAGCACAGGCAATTCCGTACCCTATGTAGGAGGCTTTAGACCCCATATTTTTTGTTTCAGCCTCCCTGACAGATTATTCTTATAAATCCATTTCATGATTTGCTCGCATATTCTTTGGGTTCAGAGCCCCCTGAGGATCTAATCTGAGAATTACCCCTGGCAGATAGCATCAAGTCAGGCTGTCCCCGAAACATCACCAAAGCCCAAGACTGTACGGATCCATCACCTTCCTCAGGTGCTTCTTTTTCATGACCTCATTTCTGCCAAAATGTCCTTAGTTAAGAGTTGAATCTTTGCCGAAACCCAAAATATTAGCAAGTATTGAAAAAAGGTCCCCTGAAAGAACACCCCCACTTCATACACACTGACAGATCTCTTGGGAATAGCACCTTTAATATTAAAATAATAAAAAGCACTTTACATGTAAAACAGAAATGGCCCTTTTGTGTGTGTTACCAGTATTCCTTTGCTCTGATTGGTTGATGTCTACTGAGAACACTGACCAATCTGGTCACTGCAGTTTGACCTCTTCCCAGTAAGCCAGCAGAGATGACTGAAATAGTGTCATGCTGGAGATAGTACAGGCCCAGTTCCACGCTCCCTCTGTCCTGCTTATCTCGACTTATCCTGCTGTAGTTGCAAAGCATGGTCATCCAAAGACAGGGTCCAGACATTGGGGCAGGAGTAAATAGCACAGATCGGTGCTTATAACTGGCCATTCTCGGACTGGGTTTGAGAAAGAACACCTTGTCTTTCATTGTGCCTCCTCTCTGTATTATCATCAGCTCCATACAGCTTGAAAGCCGCCTAAAAGACTGGCTCTTCTGTCGGGGGATGCCACAGCGGCCTCTTCCTGAGCTGGTCTATTTATGAGTGTAGAAAGATCTGTCTGATACCGATGGACACCATCCTCCTACCCCCCACCCCCCTAACACGTTCCAGGAATAGAGGGGTGGGAAAGCACAGTCCACATTGCCTCCGCTCTCTGTCAGCCCAGAAGATTGATTGTTCATTGTGTACAACAAGGATCAGCCTTTGTTCTGTGGGGGCGCCAGTGAAGCCACTTGTAACACCGTATGAATGTTCCGGACGCCTTCCGTGGGATAGATGAGGCTTCGATCTGCTCAGTAAGGCCATCCAGGGAATGCCGTGACCATTTTGGTGTGGACAGTTCTGATCTGTGCGGGGTGTCTACCCAGCTGGGTTTAATGGAGGACTATACGCTAAATAAGAGTGAAGACAAACACGATTGTACAAACCCTGAGAAATGCCTGCCGTGTAGAATTAACCATGAGGAATTTCCCTAAGCAGCATTTTATACAGCTTAAACTATTAAACTGGACTAAGTGCTGAGTGAGAACAGCTCATAAGTGGGGTCATTTAGTCCTGGTGACCTTTAGGTCCCTAATATCCCCTGCTCAGGGAGTCTTCGGTGCCCTATTCCCCGAATCGCCTCTTTTCTGGAATATTATAACTAAATATGATTTGCTTTGTGAAGTTTTCCTGCTTTTTAGAACCCTAATGTCTGTGTCTATAATGTAATTTAATAAAGACATTGGGTTCAGGCTGTGTTTCTGTGATCTCACCATCACTTGCCCTCCTTCTTCCCATCACCATCACTTCCCCTTCTTCCCTTCACCATCACTTCCCCTTCTTCTTCCCATCACCATCATTTCCCCTTCTTCTTCCCATCACCATCACTTCCCCTTCTAATTCCCTTCACCATCACTTCCCCTTCTAATTCCCTTCACCATCACTTCCCCTTCTAATTCCCTTCACCATCACTTCCCCTTCTTCTTCCCTTCACCATCACTTCCTTTTCTTCTTCCCATCACCATTACTTCCCCTTCTTCTTCCCTTCACCATCACTTCCCCCTCTTCTTTCCTTCACATCACTTCCCCTTCTTCTTTCCATTAATCAGTGATGATTTTTCAGCCAACAATGTGTATTTTATGTTCTCGTTCCCTTTCTCTTCTCATTTCTCTTTTTCCTTCCCAGTGCTTCGTGTCCCTGTTCTGTCAGACTAAACTTGTACACTTGTATTTATATCTTTGTGGGGGATCATGCATTCATTTCTATGCAAAAAAACCCACTCCCAACAATAACAAGATTAACCCCTACCCAACCCAACCTTAACCATAAGTAACCACATTGTTTTTAACACATTGTGATCCCTAATATATACATGACCACACACACACAATCACACACAGACACACACACATATATGGGTGTGTGTGTGTATTGTTGTTGTTGTTGTTTTATTCCTTTTGTAGCACTTCAAAGGTTTTTCCAAACGTAAATGGTACATTTCATCAGCAAAATCTTTTAAAAAAAAGGAACATGGCTCAACACAAGTTTTTGCTTCAGTTGTGGGATCTAGGTGACCTTTTATCTCTGATTTGAAGTACAGCTATCTTCACATCTCGGGATTATATCTACCGTACAGCAGTGTTTTCTCAGACACTATTCTCTCTGTGTGCCTCTTTTTGTCTCCGCCAGTCCCTGAGCAGGTTGAGCCCCCGGCATTTCCCAGAGGACTCTAATCGCTGGCTCCTCATGACCATCACATTGATCAAAAGCTTCTCCCATCGATTTAATAACCTCCACCTGATCGCCACACCAACTAGGGGGAATCAGGCAGCCCCAAGAGATCTGGTTGCTGCTTTGCATTTTTTTCAAATAGTTTTTGTGTAAATTAGCATTTAAAAATCATACTGGGTAGTTTAATTTAAAAACACAAAAATCTCTTTTTTTAAAGCACATCAATTTTGCTATTCACAGTAACAAACCGGGACAGAAGTTTATCCTGAAAAGGTCAGAGAGTGACATTTTTCAAAAATCAAAGGGACAGTTCTTCTGTTGCACACAATGCAAATTCCTTTGAATTCTTGTGACACTGTCTGACCATACACAAAATGAATGGGATTTTTAGCTGAATAACTCTTTTTTTGTTATGATGTTGCTGTTTACTTTTATGTGATCTGCCCATTGAATACAGCAATTTTTCATAGTAATGCATGCATTATTATTAATACTGTTCTGGCAAAGGACTACAGATCACAGCGGCTCAACATCCCATTAGACAGTAGCAGCTCTGGGGAGCTCGGATCCTCTTTGCTAATGAGTAAGTAGTGTAGGAGCACTGGGTCAGGTTAATCATTGTCAGCCAAAGGGGGAGAGACCTCAGCAATAGCCGCTGTCATTTCTGTTCTGCAAGGCTGCTCAAAGCACTTGGTTACGTTTCCGTGTTTGTGCTGCCAAGGAACAAACCCTTATGGTTGCTCTGTAGGATTGAGAGACCTGGGAACAATGGCTTGTGCAGTAGAATGTGCTTTAAACGCTTGGAATCAGTTTGCTCTTTGATATGATCTTGTTTTAAACAATCACTTGGAAAAAAAATGTATATAGTTACTCCAACTGACTGGGAGATGTAGTGTTTCCTAAAAGAGAGCATACTTTATTAATCCCTGTGGGGAAATTCTCTTTTAGCCTACCCCATCTTGCTCCCCATGACTACAGCCCTATTATTTTCATGATGCGGAAAATGTGAACGGAATCGCGGAACTGAGGCAAGAAAACAGTATTTACTCATAAACACGGAATCACACGGAATTTGCGGATATTGAGCTGACGATTGAAAACCTATTCATTTTTTTCACATTCTGCAGTCCAGATAATGTAAAATCCCCTCGCAGTAGACATAGCCAGAGACTTTAAATGGAAGGACTCTGCCACAGCCAAATCTGGCCCAATGAATGCCCAGCCCGTCCGATCCTCGTGTGTGCTACGCCCCCCTCATTACCTCGTGTTAATTCCCGATTGTATTCACCTGTTGCCTGTTCTGTTCAGCGTATCCTGTGTATATTAGTCCACGTCTTCCGTTGTTGCCCAGATCTGTCATTGTTGTGTCGTGATGTTCGTTGATGTCTGCCCTGAATAAACTCCTTTTATTCATATTCACGGCTTCGCTCGCCTGTTTCCCCGCTCACCTTGCACGCCCGGCATCACAGCAAGGATGTTGTCTTACCATAAGGCTTGTTTCTACCGTAGACAGGTGAGAGCAGGTTTGGGAGGTGACAGTGCCGGGTCAGCCAGTGGGCAACATCCCTGGAGCGGAGGGTTAAAGGCCTTGCTCAAGTGCCCGTGGTCATGTGACTGTTCTGCCGAGGTTGAGTATGCAGTATGTAGTGGTCAGTTCCCACCAAAAGAACATTAGGGGGACCTACACAATATTATGCAAGTGGTATTAATGTTATGGCTGATCGATACAGTGAATAATTACACAATTTAAGTGCTACTTTAGGAAGGACAGATCTGTCCACCATCGATGGCAATGAGATGATGGTTCACCAAATAGTGAACTGCTCCTCTTGCCTTTAGCCCTCCACTTTCAGGTGGATAAAAGGCCTCATGGATGTTGAGGAAGTGTTCAGAACAACAAATGTGTTCTGGTTAGTGCCTCACCCCTTTTACATAGATGCTGGGCATTCAGGGCAGAACGGCTTGGAACAAGATGAGAGAGACCCTTGAAATAGATCTCCCCTTTCACAGAGGGAATGGCATCCGGGGCCCTCTGGGGCAGCTAGGCGATGCAGTCAGCTCATACAGCTATAGAGGAGGCAGAGAAGTGGCTAACCTTCTTTACCTAGTCAGCCACTCCAATGCCATTTACCCATCTAGTGTCAATGATCCCTCATACAAACACAAATATGTGGCCCTGTTTCTGTCCGGTGAACATATACTACTGAAAATGTGACTTATATACGGAGATGTACACTCCATTCGGCAAGGCTAACATCACCTTAAAACCTGTCACGCCAGATCTCTCATTGTTGCCACTTGCTAAACTTTACATCAGTGTTTCCCAATCTGGTCCTCAGGGACCCGCAGACAGATAACAGTTTTTGGAGCTCAATGGGAACAAAAACATGGACCGACTCTGGGTCCCCGAGGACCGGATTGGGAAACGCTGCTTTACATCAACTCCTAGTGCCCTTTACTCCATCATCAACACTTGTCTACCAACACCGCACTCTCCAGGATTTTTTGCCTCATACACTTCGGTTTCCATCCTGTGCCATGGCTTGTGTGCTAGTCTAACCTCCTGTTAATGAACTGTGCACAGTTACGGAAATGTGAAGACATGCCAAGTGAGTTGTGGGACTTGAGTAGAGATACCGGTAGATTCCATGAACTGAACCAACTTTCTATTCACTGTCTTACACGTGTCCAGACGTATACAGTGAAGTGATTGGGTGCAGCCTTTCTTTTTTCTTCATGAGCCTTCATTCATGACTACCTATTTGTATTCATTGGGCTACACTGCCCTTACCACTTTCCACCAAAGCCAGTGTTGTGGTGCCTTTTCCTCATCTGTTGCGCTGTGTCCTGATTTGGCAGGCTGCTTTTTAAGAGCCTTGAATGTAAACATTACTCTCGGGGACCAGCTGAAGTGTGAAATCAGCCAGTGTTTTTCGTGCCTCTTTCAGCTGCAATCCCTCCTCTCTTTGAAAGAGAGGAATCCATCATTAGACTACTTAAGAGTCTTGGATTCAGCGATGGTTTTGAATATCACATGCATGTCTTTTCAGCTCTGCCTCTCCTTGCACTACTAACCTATTATGAGTTCAGCTCAAGAAAACGAGGTACTGTGAAAGACCAACAAGCTGAGAGATGATGAGGACTGTTCTAAGTTGAGCTTCTCTGTAATCCCTCCTGCCAGTTGTGAAATAAGCGCTAAGCTCATCTCTCATCTCCCCACCTGCTCGAGAATTCGGCCTGTGGCCGGGACAGAACAAAACACCACACATAGAGACCAGACAGGGCAGTTCAGTCCCCCTGCTGGTCCTGAAAACAAGCCTACGGGATTCATAGTCAAGTTTACAGGGTGACAAATACAAAAGGTATTGTGTGTTTGGGAGGGGAAGGGGTTTTCCCAAAGGGGCTGAAAAACAGACCTTGTGGGAACATTGTAAGGAGGAAGTTTCTCACATTTAAAAATGTAAAAGTGTCCCGACTCTTTCATATCGACTTTCATGCTTCCCAGTTTTGTTGGGGTGGAGTTAGGAGTGATAGATATATTGCATTTAATGTCCAAATGTACAAAAGTAAAACAGTGGAGAAAGCATGTGAGTGTAATCTTTAAAAAACCTGAAACATCTTAATACCTTAAGACAGTGTTTCCCAATCAGGTCCTCAAGGACCCACAGAGAATCTACTTTTTTGCTAGCAAGTTGGGATGGAGCAAAAACGTGGACTATCAGTCAGGGAGCTCAAAGCGAGCAAAAACGTGGACCGGCAGTCGGTTCCCAAGGACTGGATTGGGAAACACTTCCCTAAGAGGTCTTCTGTATATTATCTCTCTGTTATCTGCTGTCCTGACTAGTAAGATCTCACAAAATGTAACTCTCCATAAAAACTGATAAACAGCACTCAAGCAAGGGGAAACATGAGAGATTGCCTGCGGGTATTTGTAAGTTTCCCAGATTCCTGGTTGCTCTGTATCAAAGGTTAAGACAGTGAGGTCAATTGGACCAACCATCAAAATACATGAGGCAACACAGCGCACCCCACACAACAGCGGGAATATCCCTGCGGATTCTCAAGTGTGCTGTCCCAAAGCCTCCCAGCCTCCCCTTCACTATAGTAGTGAGCAAGAAGGCTTCAGAGCTCATGACTGTGATGCATAGCACTGTATGTCTGGGCTGGCCATCCCATAATAATTGAAGAGCTGTGAGCAGAGAAGAGAGAGCTTGATGTTCTCCTTTGCTATGTTGTGCAGAGCTGCTGGAGACCAAATCGATCCGTCCCTTCAGTTTCTCCTTCAACACCAGTGACTATCGCATCCTTCATGTGGACCAGGACCAGGGGCGACTCTACCTGGGCAGCCGCGAGTACCTGGTGGCCCTGGATATGCAGAACGTCAACAAAGAGCCCCTCATCGTAAGGCCAGCCCCAGCACAGTCACACACTTGAGTTGAATGACCTCTGACCTCCAGATGACAGGCCTGATAGAGCTATTTTGTTTCTGTCCTTCTGTACACCTCAGATTCATTGGCCTGCTCCTGACCAGAGGAAGGGCGAGTGCAGAATGACTGCCAAAGGGGAGCAGGTAAAGTGGACCTTCCTGTCATTTTCTAACAAAAGCATAAGCCCTGTTACCTTTATTTCTAACACTATTTCAAAAATATTGATTTCCATTACTGAGTTATGAACAATGAAAACACAATATTTGAACAGTTGAAGGTGTGTTTGCATAGAATGGGTTTAATTGCTAATAAAATAGAAGTTGTATTCATGTCTGTGTCCACTAGGGGGAGTGTGCAAACTTTGTGCGTCTTATCGAGCCATGGAACCGAACACACCTGTATACATGTGGCACCGGGGCATACAAGCCAATTTGTACCTTTATCAACAGGGGCTGGAAAGCTGAGGTACAGTGTGCGTTGGCCACAGTTTTAAAATGCCCTGAGAAAGTATGATACTCTGCCCTCTCTTTGTGAGAATTCACCTTTGGTAGAAAAGGCTGGATTTAAAAATTAATCTCTACAGCGTCTTGAGGAGATATCATGTTATCTCTAATCTCTGGATGACTTAAAACAAGATCGTCATTCTTTATCAATTCTGACATTAATTCTAATCTGAATTATTTCTTCTATCAAATATTAATCGTATGAGATCTTCCTATTTTAAATGCATAATTATTTCTTTATTGAATGAAAACGAGATGTCTACCGATTTCTCCTGAGAAATAAGACTCCCTCTTTTTATAGGATTACGTCTTCAGGCTGGTGCCCGGGTATATGGATTCGGGGAAGGGGAAATGTTCCTACGACCCCAATCAGGAGAACATCGCCACTCTCATCAGTACGATGCCACTCGCCACCTCCCACCTCCACGCCCTCAGCATCATGCCGTTCTCTTCTGTTTTCCATCGTTCTCACTGCTTCCACCATACTTCTGTTGCATGCATGTGTGCCTCCAGATGGAAACCTGTATGCAGGGGTCTATGTGGACTTCATGGGCATGGACCCAGCTGTCTTCAGAACCATGGGCGAGAGGCCAGCTATCAGAACGGAGCAGTACGACTCCAGGTGGCTCAATGGTGAGTGATAGCTGAGAAAAGCGGCGAGGATCCACAGGGAAAGTGAGATGGAATGGCACAAGAACCATGCTTTCTCCTGCAGAGCCCGTATTCATTCAGATCCAGCAGATCCCAGACACCACAGAGGGAAACGATGACAAGCTCTACTTTTTTTTCCGTGAGAAGAACTTGGATGGGGTCAGCGGGACCAGCCCCAGTGTCCTGGCCCGGGTGGGACGCATTTGTCTGGTACGGGCTCTTTCCTGCAGCTGTTTTTAGAGTGTCCATCTCATGTCTTTCACATACTGACCATACACTCTCACAATTAGCCTTTCGTTATCTCAACACAACGTTTTGATTGTGTCTCATCTAGATCTCTTAGTTCAGTATTCAGCTCTGTAGTGTGGAGGCTCTTGGGCTAATATGTAGGTTCAGAATGTATATATCAAGTACCGAAGGAGTCTTTGACCCGCATAGCGTGACTGTAAATTCCATAGTTTTTTCATCCGAATCTCACTTGTCACCACAGAATGACGAAGGGGGCCAGAAGTCACTGGTGAACAAATGGACGACCTTCCTGAAAGCACGCTTGGTGTGCTCTGTCATGGGGGAGGATGGTGTAGAGACCTTCTTCGATGAGCTCCGTGAGGTTTCACCCTTGATATGAACCAGACAGCCACTGTGTCCGTTTCACTCTGGTGTTGTACAAATCGCCTCATTTACTTTCTATTAGGAGATGTCTTCATTCAGCCTACTCAGGACGAACGCAATCCTGTTATCTACGCTGTCTTCTCCATAGCTGGGTAAGCTCTCAGCTTTTGATGCTGTTTCTGCCTGTCCAGTTCAGTCTGTATCAATCGCTTTCCTGGCCTCCCCTTACCTTCCCTTCCATGGTAACTGTTCCATGCCCGCTGTCTCCTGCTGCCCCCAGCTCCGTGTTCAGAGGCTCGGCTGTTTGTGTATACTCCATGGCTGACATCCGCAACGTATTCAATGGACCCTTCTCGCACAAGCATGGTCACAACTACCAGTGGATCGCATATTCTGGAAAGATCCCTTACCCACGGCCCGGCACCGTAAGTCATCACTGTCATCTAATGCATTTCACTCCTGCTGAATGCCAATCTTGGATATAATCTAATCTGTTCTATAGTCTGAAGCTTGGTTACCTAGAATGTTTCCTTAAGATTTTCTGACATTAGCTAAATGAATCTCTCATCCCAGTACAAAAGCCTCCTCAGAGTAACAAATTTCTGAATCATCAAAATTCTTCCCAGTCTGTTCATTCTACCTCAAGCTGCCATCTCTCTCCTATTCTAATCTGTTATCTTTTAGCTGTTATGTGGTTCACTAATCAGCACAAACCAGTTTCTCAGTGTGCAAGGAAGTGAATCAACATGACTAACCAGCTGTATCATCATGTCTATCCCTGATTCTTTCTCTCCACATTCCTTCTTCTCCTTATCTGACTGTCTTCCTTGAACCTCCCCAGTGTCCAGGGGGCACATTCACCCCTGGCGTACGCTCAACCAAGGAGTTCTCAGATGAGGCCGTGAACTTTGTGCGGACACATCCCCTCATGCACCACCCAATCTACCCGCTCCACAAGCGCCCTCTGGTGGTGCGATCTGGCGTTGACTACCGCTTCACCACCATTGCAGTAGACCAGGTGGATGCAGTAGATGGGAGGTACGAAGTTCTCTTCCTGGGAACCGGTGAGTGTTAATTCCTGGTGATCTATCACTCCAGACAATTGGAATTAAGGGTTAAGATGTCCCTCCACACCCAATTTAGATCGTGGAACAGTCCAGAAGGTGATCGTTCTACCCAAGGACACCAACATCATGGAGGAACTCACTGTAGAAGAAGTTGAAGTCTTCAGGGTAATGGGACTGTCTTCATGATGCATCTTCTTACTGATTTCCATCCACATCCACACATTCTGTCATATCAATCGTCTTCATATATAATGCTTCTTTTGTACATTTTTTCAGACTCCAACCCCAGTGAAAACAATGAAGATATCATCTAAAAGGGTAAATCATATATAATCCCTCAACCCTCTTTCTAGAAAGAATAATCTCCCCATAGAAGGTTATTAAAGAGGGATTTTCAGATTCCTGAAACACGTTTTGTACAGTGCTGAAATGTATAAGATTTCCAAGTACATCATCCGTCTTTTTATTCTTTTTGGAATCACAGCAACAGCTTTATGTGTCGTCCGAGGCAGGGCTTAGTCAGCTGTCCCTGCACCGGTGCACGGCCTACGGTAAGGCCTGCTCCGACTGCTGCCTTGCCCGGGACCCCTACTGTGCTTGGGATGGGGAGATCTGCGCTCCCTTCACGCTGGCCACCAAAAGGTAGGAGCAGACAGATGCCCTCGGGGTTCTGTTGCATGGCGGGACATATCCAGTGAGAAGGTGCTCACTGGAGCTACATGCTGTGCCACTCAGGAGGAGCAGAAGGCAGGACATCAAACATGGAGATCCCCTGCGCCAGTGCCGGGGGTACAACGCCAAGGGTGAGGCGACTTCCCGAAGGCTCTGTGACGGCTCGGAGCCCCTGTGGCGGTTCTCCACATCAGTCATACTTAAAAGTCCTCTCGATCCCCACAGAGAACCGTCTGAGAGAAACGGTGCAATTCGGCGTGGAGGGGAACAGTGCGTTTCTGGAATGTCAGCCTCAATCTCCCCAAGCAACCGTGAAGTGGCTGTTTCAAAAGGACGGCAGGAGGAAAGTGGTAAGAAAGGCCCTGCAGCCACCCTCCATCCTGCTTCTCTTTCTTTATTCTCGTGCCTTTTGTGCAAGGCTCGGCTCTCTCTCTGGTCTTTCTCCTACTGTCCCTCTCCTGTCACCGTTCACTCTGTGTGTCACCCTCGCAATCGCTTCCTGTCCAGCCTCTCCATTTCCTCTTTGTTATGGACGTTTCTAAACCCAGCCCTGTTGGGTTCAGGCATGCTTGTGTAGACGAAGGCCCCTTATTTTGGCTCATTTGACTAAAGTGCATCAGTCCTCATCAATCCACTGTTAGGACAATGTGGACCAGCAATGGAGGAGTAGGAGGACTAGCAATGAGATCCTGTCAAACCTTCAGGCTGAAGTGGTTTGTGGGGTTTTATGGTAACATACAATTAGCAGCTCAGGGGAGGTCTACAGGCTTCCTAACTGATGTACCCCTCTTGGAGTTTGTGCTCCTAACTCTATAACCCATCAACACAAACCTCCCGTTGTCCTCTTCCCCAACCAGCTCCATCGGGACCGCGAGGTCCTAAAGACGGGTCATGGCATTCTACTAAAAGCCGTGAACCAATCAGATGCTGGGATGTACCACTGCCTGACCACTGAGAACAAATACAAGCGTACCGTGGCTCGGGTGGCACTGCGCATCCTGGACCGCGAGATTGTGGAGGCCCTCACCTCCCCTGACGCAGCCCCTGTCCGCCACCAACCCTTCCCGCCGCCCCCACCTCCCCCTCCTCCGAATCCGCCCCCGCAGCCGGAGGTGCAGCTCATGAACCAGTACTGCCAGACGTATTGGCAGGAACCAAAACGAACCAGCAGAAGACATGTGGAGGATGTGGCGCTGCTCTCCGGCCACTGACGCCTGGGTCGGTACCAGCATTCCAGCCGTGGGCTTTGTGTCATGGCCTCGATCTGGTTTCCCTTTCCTGTAGGAACAACTCGATGATTAAAGAGAACAGAGTCCAGTCTGACCTAAGCTGTCCAACTGGCACATCTGGTTTCAGCTTCACTCCAAAACTGCAGCTTCATCCAACCTGCACGAAGGCAGCCGGGTATGATCGGATCCCCCTTCTGCGTATTTACGTAACGTAGTGGCCTGGGTTCCCTCGGTTATCCGTTTTCTAATTTTGCTCCTCAGCAGCATGTGATCTGAGATGCAGTCCAACCTTTGCTGTGCTTTTCCTGCTTTCGATGGGGTTTATGTGTTGCTGTTTTGTTACCTGGCCCATGATCCTTCCTTCAGCCAAGGACAAACTCAAGATGTGGATCAAGTGACTGAGACAATGAGAACACACTGCTAGGGTTAAGAAAACAGCGTGGCAAGGCTAAGGTTGAGGTCTGAAGACAGGCACAATGTGTTACACTACACACGTTTAGGTTATTGACAATTAATGTGCAATATGAATTAACACTTTGAACTGTGCAGTTGGTCTAAGCGTATGTAGTTATTTAAACTGTTAGATCCTAAAGTTAGTATTTAAAGCACTTACAGTATAAGCCACAGACCTTCAAACTCTCTGAATGTCATTGCATTATTTTTAGTGTTGGGAATGGTATTCACAAAAGAAATCCATTACAGACACAACTGGAAAGTTCAGGTCCAGAAAGCACAAATCCAGACCAAGGTTTTGTTTCAGTTGAGTATAAAAAGTCACCATTACAGAGTACACAACTGGTTGGTTGAAACAAAACCTTGGTCTGGATTTATCCTTTCTGGACCTGAACATTCCATCTCTGTCTGTAATGGATTACTTCTGTGAGTAACTTTCCCAGCACTGAATATTTTAGACCATAAATTCACTTTTTTTGTAAAAAGCTATTGAAAGATTCATGTGATTATAACACCCCACATTAAAATGGTATGGCTGAGCTTTTAAGCATATTTAAATGACACATGTTTCACACATGCAGTGTTCAGGATTTTGGTGTGTCAATTTTTGTGATTTGGAGTGTTTATTTTATGTGTTTTTTTTGTGTCTTTTTGCGTCAAAGCTATTTCTACTTGTGAAACGTACCTTGTGTAATTATTATTTTTTTTAATGGTCATGATACATTAACTACTGGCATGGTTTATGAGTTGAATGCACAAATTGTGATTTATAAGCATACTGTAAACACTGATATAAAAGTAAGTCCAGTTGTCCCCTCCTTTGGTTTCATTGGCTAATTTAAAATCAGAAACAATCATTATATTCAAACATTGTTACAGTAGCTAAACAATCTTAAGAACAGAGAAAGATAAACACTGCATCTGAACTCCCAACTTCATTTATTTGTTATGCATTATGCAATTAATTCAGGCATTTTTCAGATTTAGTCCTTCATTCCAGACTGTAGGTATTTGGCATCATTGTATGCAGGGACGGATTATGGGTTGTGTGGGCCCCTGGGCAAAACGTTCGCAAGGCCCCCCCCCCACCACCACCACCACCACCACCAGCACCACCACCACAATTCAAGGGCCCTTGGCAGCCAAACGCCCTCCCTCCATGTTTCCATCAGAGGCCCTATAGGGTCAGGGGCCCTTGTAGGCAGAGGATCAAAGAATGTAGGCCCTCTAAAATAGACAAACGAAAATACATTGTTGATAAGCGTTGCAAATTGTTTTGGGCTAGGGGCCCCACGGGCCTCCTGCACCCCAAGGGCCCCTGGGCAGCGGCCCCGCTGGCCCGGTCCGTAATCCATCCCTGATTGTATGTATAAAAGAGTATAACGTATCCCAGAGGCAGATACATGCTGTAAGTGGAGAGAAGGTAATGTAATTGTAGGGGATTAACATACTGATATTTAGTACAGGACCAAGGACAGGACCAAAAAAGGTAGTACAGTATAAAACAATAAAATCCTGTTGCATGTGTTTGTGGACTTTTTTAAGTGAATCATGTCATTTAATGCATCAGATTCTCATTTTAAAGTCTGAATTAATGCATTTTTTAAATACATTTCTGCTGTAATTTTGGTCTTTGCTGAGCATTGTGAAATATATCTCACCAAGATGAATGACTTAAAACACAGCGCAGAGTTTACAGGTGGCTATATGGAACTCCTGATTTTTATTCCATAATTCCTGTCTAGATTCTCACTTGTTCTCCTGTGCATTCTGGAGGTGTTAACAGTGCCATCACCGGGCTTGGGGTTACAGATACGGGCTCATGTGGAGCTCAGTAACCTCGACCAAGTGTGTCACTGTATCTTCTTCTGGCATTCATTATTATTAAATCACTGGTTCTGAGTTTTTTTTTCCATGTGTCTACTAATTTCCCCATAAAGGCAGGATTTGCTTTGGGCTGTGTGCTTTGGGCATGTATTCCTTTTGGTGACCTGGATGCAGAACGCATCTGGATTGGAGGGTGCAATGTTGCATATTAATTTATGTAAAGACCAATATTTGTGGACAATATTGTATTGGAAGGTGTTATTGTTTAGCACATAGTTGTGGATGTTCATGAATTTCATCATGGAACCATCTCATGTGAAAATGTATTTTGTGTTGTGCTGTGTTTCGATTACCTGCATGCAACTGGAAGACTGCTTTGGACCTTCACTGATGGACACCTCTCATTTCAGACCTTTCTAACTGACGACCGAAGTAATGGTTTATGGAATAAGTTGTATGAATCATCTAGAACACCCAGTTCAGCTTTCCTGTGCTTCTGGGTCATAAGTCTACTACTGAGTCAGTCCCTGTGGTCTAACAGCTTTGAATAAATTACATCTCTTTTATTTTAAAGAACACATTAAATACTGTTATTAATACCTGTAAAATATATGACTTCCAGTATATTCATATACATAGTTAGTCTTGCTGTTTCTTAATGTCAGTCATTTCCTCTAAACACCTATCAGATGATAAGTTTGAGAAATCTCCCATATTAGATGGGTACTCATGCTGTGTGTCTGTTGCATTTCTAGCTGTAATTGGGCCCAGTGATTGAATGCTTTGGGTCCCATCTGTAGGCTCTCGTGATGTTCATGCTGCATCAGCTCTTACAGTAACACAGGCTCACCTCCCAGAACAGAGCTAATGGCACAAAATATAATGAGACATATGATCATTTAACTGTGTATCTGTCATTGAATTAACAGTGTTCTGGTGGTTATTAAGTGACCTGATGTGTATCTAAATGCCCCCTGGGCTTGGACTGAGTACTGAAAGTTTCCAGCAGTAAGGTTGTTCATCAATACCATGACAATATTTGAAGAAAGATAAATATTAATATCAGCATTCTGTGTACTACTGTGGTCTGTTACTTTAATGTCTAGTAAAACTTTCACTTTTGTGATGCTATTTCACAAAAAGTGGTTTTTATTAATAAAAAAAAAAACACTTTTAAAGAACAGTATCAAAAGACAGAGAAACCAGGCAGATCCAGACACCCAGGCACACCACACCGTTGTTTAACACGCAGCGTATGGAGCTGAGTCACCCAGCGGCAGCGTTTAGCATCACCTAAACCACCATTATTCTTAAAATAATAGAATAACATTTTTTCCCCACCATAAACACACGTTATGAATAAAACTGTCCTTGAGTTGGACCCTGAAAATAATATTGTATTTAGTACTGGAGAAAAACTGACAGTAAAACACCCGAAATGAACCCTCGGTGACTTTGTTCTTTCGTATATTTAAAGTACAGTTAAAAATTAATGAGTTACAGATTTTTGGCAGCAAAAAAAGCTGAAGAGATGCAGTGCAACATCTAAACCAAGAGATGGCGACAAAACCCTAACTTAAGGACAGATCTTTTAAAACGGTGATTCTGAACCCAAGGACTGCAACCCGGCAAGTTCTGAAAGGGTCGAGAGGCAGAGTTGGGAATGTACGGTAAGCATTTTAAAACCAGCGCGCTCCTACACCAGGGGTGTCCACATTTTTTCAGCTTGCGAGCTACTTATAAATGACCAAGTCAAAATGATCTACCTACTATAAAAATGCAAAACATATATTAATTTATAGATATTCTGAGTATTCTTTATTATTATTATTATTATTATTATTATTATTATTATTATTATTATTATTATTATTCATGATCAAATTTCCCTTTGGGATAAATAAAGCATTCTTGAATTGAACTGGGATTTTAGTTCCTTCACCTTTCACTTTCTCAGCTCGCTTTTCGGAGGGAAGTTAATGTCGTAGTTTTTATGAACAGTCTGAAAATGCCGCTCCATATTTCCCTTCTTCAGAATAGCGACGGTAGACTGACAGATGAAGTAAACGCACTTCGAATATGACATTGTAAAAAAAAATAACTTCTCCTTCCATTGCGTATGGAAGTGGTAGGTTTTTGGCTTCTTACTTTGTCCAGCTCTGCCATTCATTTTATACTCTTTTTTAAGTTTAGTAGAACTAAATTGGAGGCGACTAGAGTTTGGCAGCAGCTGGCGTGGTTGAACGCGTCATTCATCCTCTATTTTTTACGCGATCGACGTATTGGGCACCCCTGTCCTATGCTGATCTGCAATCAGATTTCCCAGCTGCAATCCTAGCATTAACCTATGTATAAATACAAATACAAAAGTTTTTCAGCGATTTGTGACAATCTGTGTGAATGGACAAAGCCTTCTGCCAATAGGGGTGACATATGCCTGTGAAAAGCAGACATACAGGATGTAAGAGCCTTGGCAAGACTTGTATTAATGTGATATAGCACAGAGTACAGCATAGGTACCCAAACAATAAAATCCACAATAGCAATCTGAACCACATTCATCTTGGGTTGCCATTTACCACTCAGATTGTGATTACCCAGAGGCATTGTAAGGCGTAAACTAAAATTAAAATTAGATATAAATTTACTCATTTTAATGGCCCACATAATAGTTATTGGTCTAAATTATGGTTTTTCATTACATCTTAGTTCCACATCATAAAACCCAAACTTATCACACAGACAAAGTGAATACAGCTTTCAAGTTAATAGTGAATAATTTGGCCTGAAAATACCTTTTGAAGTGATATTAATAGATGAATAAGAGGAAATGTACTATTTCCGAAGGACATGAATTATCAAACTTTGTATGCACTACTAAAGAGAGAAGGAGAAGACCCACAAAAGAGTGTCTATGACATGATAGTCAGGGAAAGTATATAGGGGGTCAGTTTGCCTACAACCGGGCCTAATTGTTTTCTTCCTTTGTTTGCTGTTCTTCGATCCTCAATTGACGGAAATTTGAGTTTATGTCAGTGCTTACACAGACCTTCCTCAGCCTTTGATGTCTGCAGAAGAAATGGCTAAGTGCACCAACATACCCTACATACACTGCAGGCATCAAGTTCAGTACGATAAAAATCTTAGTACCGAATAAAACAATGACAAACTAAAACTATTTCAGTGCATCCAAGGAGTGTTTTATTGTCAGTGGTAATGCCCAACACTGTAGCAGAAGGTTGGGAGTTCCTTAGCAGCGTGGGGGAATCACTGTCTGGGAAGATGGTCTGTCACATAAAGCGCAGGATCCCAGGTTCGATCAGCAGGTTCGTTTTCCACTGCAGGATTTTCACATTTCTCCTGCCCTTTCCTATGTCGTTGGTGCCAACATGCACCACAACCACTGGATCCACCCCGGCTGGGACCAAAAGCTTGTCCACACGATTCAGAAGCTCCCTTACCTGGGCACCAGACAGGACCCTCCATCACGTGTGCACCCATACTGTAACTGTCTACACCTCTAATAACTGAATCCCATCTACCACAACCTCCCTCTTCCTGGGGGGAGGGGGCTCCTCAGTGCCCAAGGGCCCACCTGCCTCCCCAGTCTCTGGAACTGGAAACACCTGAAAGCGATTTGACACTGCTGGTGCCTCTGTAAAGTGTGTACGCCCTTTCTTACATCTATGACCTACGGTCACCCAGCTCTCTCAACCTCCCTGTTCCTCATTCTCCCCCCTTCCGCTTGTGGTGTGCACACCGTCTCCCTAAAAGACGTATTAACTTAATCTTCTAACTCTGCGTTGTGTCGGATGAGAGCCAGTTGCTCCTCAAGGTCACGAACCTTGACCATGAGTGAGTCCACCAGCTGACATTGTTGGGATTATTATTATTACTATGATGATGTCTGGGTACTTGTATCACCCCATGAAAATCATTGGTCACCCCTTGGCCATCCCATTGAATGTCTGCTGCCACCCCTGCTTCCATAATTTGATATTTCGTTGGCAGTGCTGGGAGGGGCTGCATGCTTTGTATAAAGGATGAACTGAACATATCATATTTACATATCTTTAGAAGTACGGTTGCTTATGAAGTTACAGCCATTCCAGAAAAGCCTGTTTTCAGCTGTAATCTTCGTATGGTATCATTCAACAGAGACGAACCCCAGATTAACCAGTAATCAGGGACTGCTACTATAGTTGTGCAATTGGGCACACTAAGTTAGACACCAGAAAGCAATTATGCTGACTTTCACACCAGCGTGTTTGGGACCCACGTTAATCAGATCATAACATCGCCATCTACTGACCAAAAAAGGAAACACAATTGAAAATCAGCCCCGTGGCCAAAATTGCTCTTCCTTCCTATACTCAGATCCATCACCCCTCCACCTTGCAATTCACCGATTATTTGTTACTTATGTTTTTTAAAATGTACTCAGCCACTTGCCAAGTTACACGGCATATAGCTTCACTTAAAGTGGAAGATTTTCCTCAAGGTGGAATGGCTTTCACTGCTTTATGAGCAGGTATATAAATATAAATTATACCAATTTCTGTGGAAAAAAAAAAGTACAAAAATATCAGAATTTTAAGAGGTATTATAAAGGGTGATCATTATAAAGGGTCTTTGACATTTGCTTTAGGGGGAAAAGGGTTTGAGATGACATGGTGCATGATATGTATGATTTTTTTTTCCCTTCCCTTCAAAAAATCCACAACAGACTTTTTAAAAATCATTCAACTGCATTTATTGGAACAGACAAGACAGAAAGGATGGTCTCTTTATGGAAAGAGACCATCCTTGCATCCTTTCAGATAATGGACAAAAAAATCAGTGAGTTTTTGGTCACAGCTCTTTCAGTCACTGACTGAACCTCCCATGTTCTGATTAATCCTATTTTGTGATGTTCTGAGCCATTAAATCTACACATTTTGGCTTTGTTGCAATAATACTGAATAGCTTGGATAAAAATTTAAATCAGTGTTGATTAGAGTGACCATGCAGTCCAACGAGATTGACTCCTGGTCCAGTCAGTCCTCTTGAGCTTTTGCACATTGAATGAATGACACTGATTGAGCTTCACTGGCTACATAAGTTCACACTTACAAGTAAATTGTCTTGACCTGGTTCTTACATTGACATAACCAGAGAATGGATGGAAAACAGTGACACGAATCAACAAAGAAAAAAAAGACAAAACATAAATGAGCACAATGCCACAGCGGCCGTTGCGTTTAGTGGGTATCCTTTTCCTACTCTGCCACTTAAGGGATAACAGTTTTCATGGAAATGCTCGAGACCGTCTCACTGCCATCAGAACACAGGAAAACATCAGCCCTGGTTTTCTTCTCAGGACTCTGGTCAAGGAGATCTGGTTAGGTTACATCTGCATCGATGCAGTGTGAACAAACAGTGGGAGCAAAATGGACACATGTATACAAGGATGTGTAGATACATTGTTTTGAAACAGCTGTTTCTGGGAGACATTATCAAAAATAGTTGGACATGACACATCATTCCCAACAAAACAAACTAAATAACGTCCATACGGCTAAGAAGGGTGGCAGCTGTCCCATGGCGGGTAACTGGTCAAGGGCTTGACAAGCAACTGCTGGGCTTGCTGCGTGGCAAGGGGTAGGTAACTATAATAGCCAAACAGGTCCAGCTTTCAAGCTCACAGGCCAACAGATACGAAAGACCTACTTCTCACTTGTCATTACATTGGGACAGAAACAAAACTGACTATATATTTGCTCTGAGTTGCATTATAAATATAGATTTCAAAGTAAAACATTTCAAGTTGCAGGATGAAAGAAATATATTACATTAAACATTTTTATTCTTTGTATTTTCACTTTTTCTATGTACTAAACTATTTACTAAAATTGCAGCAACTGTCACTTTGTTTTTTTTTTTTAAGGGACTTTAAATCAAAATTCATTCAACTGTATTAGCATTCCTCCTGTGATTTATACAGGAAGCTGAAAAGATTGCCTTAGTATGGATTTGGCTTCCACTGTAGATATCATTACCCAACCTTGAGCGGAACACTGAACAACCCTGCAACTTGATACAATTCAGACTTGGATGGACGTAATAAAGACGGAAGTTTGAGAAAACCTGATTGGACCATTTAGGGAAATGACACAGGATCATTTCAGCTACAGGAGAATAAGCCTCTTTTGTTAAACCCAAGGCTCCTTTGCAATGCAGTCTTTATCACAGCCAAAGACGTGCATGACTGAGACTGGCACTCCAGTAGGGTAGGGATGTGCTGTCCTGCAGTCATGTCTTTGGCTGCTGGTGATGTGTTAGTGCCCACCTATGCTTTGGTTTCCTCCAGATGCCCAGTGCATAATGATGAAGGATATGCTGATCACTATAAGCAAGAGTCCTGCAGCTGCGAAACAGGCAGCCTGACGTCGAAAGGAGAGAATAAATGAGAAAACATGTGATTAATTATGCATTGCAACTGTTATGTGCCCCGTCTTATTTTTTCATTTTTCCCCTTTTCTCCGAGATTGGTTCTGAGGTGGAGGTAGAGTGAGCCGTAGGCTGATTGGCTAATTGCACCAGACTGACTGAGGACCTGATAAAAGACTATTTTTTTCTTCTATTGTTTTTATGTTTACTTTGTCTCTCTGCAGACAGTTTGGTTATAATTTTGTTACTTTCGTTTGTTAATAGGTAGGCTGCATTTTTTGCCTGGTTTACTGACTTTTGCCATTTTATTTTCTTTGTTCTTTGCATCCCTACAGAACGGTGAGTTTTGTCAGCTAGCTTAGATAGTCAGAGTAGGGAAGGTAGTAGTCTGGAATATTTTACTTTCTTTCGTATTGTAAAATGAAATGCGAGTTAGGGAAGTTCTTTTACAAGCAGAATAATAATAATAATAATAATAATACATTTTATTTATACTGCACTTTACATTACCAAAAATCTCAAATGTGTTGGTTGGTTCCCCATCCTGATTGGGTAGTTATTTATTCCGGGGTTGATTTAGATTTCTTGTGTAGAATGGGGTGCTTTAATAAATTGCTTTCTTGCATTGGCCATGCATCTTTGCACAGTGTTAGAATGAAAATGTACATTTCTTATCATATTAATTGTGTGAATGTAGGCAAACAGTTTATCAGCTTTGACGCAGAGACCTGTTAGAACAGGACATCTTCTGTGACTCTGTAAGATTGTGAAAAAGGAACAATCACCCTGGGAGTGGAAATAGACTCTGTCGATACATCAAGGGGGCTCATTCTGAGGAATGCAAGGTCCTGTGTTTAACCCCTTCGCAAGAAGCACAAACAGCATTATAGCTTTAGGATACTCCCCATTGTAACCACTCCCCTTCTGTATAAATAAAGAAGCCAAGGGACTGCCCTGTGTGACACTGAACTGAGGCGCAGATACTGTCTGTTGCATCTAAGTGAGTGGGCACCCTTGCGCAAGTAAAAGATAGGAAGCGTGCTGTCTCTTTATTCCTGAGTCCGAGAAGTGCAGAGTGTGGAGTGAGAAGCCAGTACGCTTTCTCCACATAGGTATTAAAGGGGTCAAAGCTTCGGCGCTTTCCCCAACACACAGTCTTTTCATTTTTGACAGCTTATTATTTTGGGCCTTGATTTTGGGTCATAACCACAAGCAAGTACTGCTCTTGGGGAAGAGGATGTACCTGAATCTTTGGTCTGGAGTTCAGTGCTTCCAAATTCTCAGGGACAATTCTTATGTAGAATATTCCTGGAAGTATGAAGATCAGGGTGGGCGCTGATGTGGCTCCTGGAAAGAAAGGGACATGGGACTCTTTGGTCAGGTCAGGAGGGTCATCAGTCTGAATAAACATCCATCAGTTCATGAAAACCTTTCTAGATGCGTTTCAGCTTGGTGTTTGGAAACCTGATGAGCAGCTAAAACTGACCAATGACTCCAAAGATGTCTTTGATGTTGGGTATGGAGATGACCAGGATGTTGACAAAGACCAGCAGGCCAAATGCAACACTGATGTGACGCACCCAATTGAAAGGCTTGTCATGAAAAAAGATTTGGAGCAGGGCTCTCCGGATCTGTGGAGAAGTACAGCAAAGAATGTCAATACCGCAACCTTGTGATGTCATACTGTACACACTCGAGGTGAGGGGGGGGGGGGGGGGGGGCCTTACGGGGAAGATGACCACGGGCACTGTGAGGGTCACAGCCATGAGCACAGCCAAACGCACACACAGAATCAGGTGGTCTGCACTGTCTCCCTTGTAGGTATGGAGGAACTCCGAGCCCACCTTATCTATGCACAAAATCAACCAAACTAAGTTATTAGAAAGTCCAAAACCAGAGCATCTCTGTCATCTTACAGGTTCTCTAAGCACCCATTATGCTGCCATTTGCATAGGGCTACATAATGAGTTTATAATGCCTTTCCCTTCTGCTTACCATAGAAGGTGAGGTAGCCAAAGACAGCTGTTAGAAGGTACATGACAAACATTGCTAAGACGGAGATGTTAGCAACTCTCTGCATGCGCTTCATCGTCGGCCTGGTGAAGAAAGGCAGAGATGGAGAGATGCAGAACTCCTTGGTGACTGATATTCATGTAATTTGATGCCATTATAGTATGTAAGTAAATTGTATTGGTTTTCATAGAAAACAAAAGTGAAACTGTTTAATGAAGACAACAATTAAAAGGGATTAATTTTTATACTAAATTGCCATGAGAAGCACTTCTAGAAGTGTGATTTTCTCTTAATTTCACTTTTTTTTGTTAGATATCCCAGATCTAGTGTTAGGTAAACTTCCCCTGTCATCCCCAGCTCTTTGAAACCTATCAGTATTAAAATGAGGTCGGTTTGTTTGATGGACTCACTTCCGGAGTTCCATGTAGATGGGCAGAACCTCTGGGTGGCAAACAAAGGCAAACGCCACAATTGGAATGGCGTACGCTGTCTGTAACCCAAACACATGGGGGTAAGGACACTAATTCAGTAGGTACTCCAGGACCTGCATGCATCCTCAAAGCATCACAACATCATAAACTGTCTGACCCTTGAGTTATACGTGATGAGTTTGGCCTCGCACACATCGTCTTCACTGGTGCTGTTGACCATAACTGTTAAGGGCTGGGTCAGGTTGTGATCTTCTAAAGGACATCCGACATTAAACTTTTTGTAGATCACCTATAAAATAAGAAACAAAATACTGTAATGACACAGAGTCCCAATACCATTTCCTTCATTTCCCTTTGCATTCTAATATTAACAGAATAGAACATGAAATGCTTGTAATGTGTTTGTAAAAATGGGACAAATTCACAAACAAAGTAAACAGTTTTTGAACCATGATGAATTTATGCACTCATTCATGCAAGTTGGGCTATGTACGTTTTGGATTACATTTACAGCATTTGGCAGACGCCCTTAGCCAGAGCGACTTACAATGACTCTACAATGAATTTTTCCCGATACTAGTTCAATAAAACCAAGGCTATGAATACCAACGATCTAATACTCTGTTGGGAAAGTGCGTTTTTTTTTTTATAAAAGGAAAAAAAACTGAGTATAATGCCAGAAGTGGTAATTCAGGTATTTCTGGAAAAGGTGTGTTTTAAGTCGTCTTTTGAAGACATTCAGTGACTCAGCTGTTCGAGATCTAGGGGGAGTTCATTCCACCAACTTGGTGCCAGAACAGAGAAGAGCCGAGAGGTGTTTCTTCCTTGTGCCTTGAGGGGTGGTGGGACCAGTCGAGCAGTGCTGGACGATCGGAGAGATCGTGGTGCAGTGCGGGGTGTGATGATCAGAACTACTATAACGCCAGTCATGAAACATGAATTGTCATGCCGAAAACCTTTCAGAATGGCATTTTTTAAATACCTTGAAGAAAGGATGCCTGCACAGAATTTCCACAGCACCGTGCCTTATGTTTCTATTTTGCTCAAACCACTTTTCGAAAGAACAGGAATGCTACAAAAGAGTGTCTGGTCATCAAAATGTATAGCAAACAAGACGGTAACTCTTTAGAAGTGAGATTCAGCCATGGAAGATACACAGGGTCACTGTGCCTGAAAGAAGGAGTATTGGTTTGTTTTGTTCCTTTGTTTGTTTGTCTTCAGTCTTCAATACACGGAAATCTGAGTTAATTCCAGTGCTTACACAGGCCTTCCTTGGCTTTTGATGTCCAAAAATGAAATGGTTAGCGTAATTTCCCCCTAATACCCCCTCCCCCTACTTACAGAGATAAGGAAGAACACCATGCATGTCAAGGAGAGTCCACTAGTGTAGCCAAGGTATCCTGTAGTTTCATGAGGATAAAAACAACAGAAAAAAATATGAATTAACATCATTGAGTTCAGGGAATGTTTTAATACCAGCTTGTCAGCAGTAACACTCAACACTGACACAGAAGATTGGGAGTTCCATGTGAGAAGCAACCAATGTAGGGGGAGAAGAATCATGAACTCACCAAGCTGCCGCATGAGAGCAAGAGGCAGGATAATTATCAGGCTGGCAATGATAACCAGGTATTTGCCGTTCAGATACCACTCTCTGGGAACAAGACAGACAGTGCATCAGGCAAAGAACCACTATATCCTAAATCATGCTGGACCACTCTCATTGGCTTTTATTGAAATATCACAGTAGCATGAGAATAGTGTTCAGCTTGTAAGCAAGGTTGGTCAATGTCACAATATAATAGCATGAGATCAAAGTTAGTATCACACTATATTGCCAAAAGTATTGGGACACCTGCCTTTACACACACATGAATTTTATTGACATCCCATTCTTAATACATAGGCTCTAATACGGAGTTGGCCCACCCTTTGCAGCTATAACAGCTTCAGCTCTTCTGAGAAGGCTGTCCATACGGTTTAGGAGAGTGTTTATGGAAATTTTTGACCAGCCTTCCAGGAGAGCATTTGTGAGATCAGGCACTGATGTTGGATGAGAAGTCCTGGCTCTCAGTCTCCACTCTACTACATCCCAAAGGTGTTCTATTGGTTGAGGTCAGGGATCTGTGCAGGCCAGTCAAGTTCCTCCACACCAGACTCACTCATTCATGTCCTTATGGACCTTGCTTAGTGCACTGGTGCGCAGTCATGTTGGATCAGGAAGGGGCCATCCCCAAACTGTTCCCACAAAGTTGGGAACATGAAATTGTCCCAAATGGCCTCCAATGCTGCAGCATTAAGGAACTAAGGGGTCAAGCCCAACCCCTGAAAAACAACCCCACACCATAATCCCCCCTCCACCAAACATTACACTTGGTACAATGCAGTCAGGCAAGTACCGTTCTCCTGGCAACCACCAAATCCAGACCCGTCCATTGCATTGCCAGAGAAGCATGATTCATCATTCCAGAGAACACATCTCCACTGCTCTAGAGTCCAGTGGCGGGGTGCTTTACACCACGGCATCTGGTGCTTTGCATTGTACTTGGTAATGTACAGCTGCTCGGCCATGGAAACCCATTCCATGAAGTTCTCTACGCACTGTTCTTGAGCTAATCTGAAAGCCACATGAAGTTTGGAGGTCTGTAGCTATTGACTCTGCAGACAGTTGGCGACTGTGTGCCTCAGCATTCGATGTCCCCCCTCTGTAATTTTACGTGGCCTACCACTTCATGGCCGAGTTGCTGTTGTTCCCAGTTGCTTCCACTTTGTTCAAATACTACTAACAATTGACCCTGGAATATTTAGTGGAGAGGAAATTTCACAAATAGATTTATTGCACTGGTGGCATCCTATCATGTTACCACGCTTGAATTCACTGGGCTCCTGAGAGTGACCCATTCTTTTGGCAAATGTTTGCAGAAGCAGTCTGCATGCCTAGGTGCTTTGTTTTATATACCTGTGGCTATGGAAGTGATTGGAACACCTGAATTCAATGATTTGGAGCGGTTGTCCCAATACTTTTGGCAATATAGTGTATTAGGCTAGGTTGTTGGAAATAAATTAAACCGAGTAAAGTGAGTAAGAAAGAAAAATAAATTATGTAAAATGTAGGATTTTTGCATTTCGGGATTATTAAAGGCAAACCTATTGCTTAGTCACTACCATAGACCCACTGGGCCAGTCTGGTCCAGCACTCACCCAGAGTTGGATGGGGCTCCCATAAAGTTTTGAATGACCAGCGGAAGCTCAGACTTCACAATGAAGAGGTAGCTGGACATGGCTTAAGACAAAAAGACCAACAGCTTTGAAAACCATAACAGAAATGGACTCTCCTTTCAGTATATATATTCCTGGCCTGATCTATGAATGTTGTCTACATGGATCTAACTTATTTCATGGATAATGTGCATGGTTTTCAGGCTTGCCATCACATCACAGCACAACACGGAGCATCCAGTGTTGGTCACATGACTCTATGATGTTTTCAGAACGAGTGTGTCTGGTTTTTCCCCCGGTGCAGGTTACCCTAAAGGGGAGCAGCATTATCTCCCTGCTCTGGAACAGTAACCTCACAGCCTCCTGGCAGTCGGGAGGCCAGATGCTCCTCCCACTTGTGCTGACTCACCTCCGATGTTGTGTATGGTGATGACACAAGCCGCCAGAACTTTCCCCGGAGCACCGAAGGCCCGATTGCCCAGCTGTTCATAGGAACGGATCCCTGCGAGTCAGATAAACCGTAGAATATGTGTTACTAACAAGTAATGGAAAAATGCACAGTAGATAGACTGTCAGTGGGAGAGGACCTTTTAAACCATGTATGTCATCTGCATGTGTCCAAATATAGCAGGACTTTATGCTTGAGGCACATAGCAGATAGATTAGCTGGTCATCTATGCTAATCTCATTAAATGAAGCCTGGCGGATCAGTGTGTGCATTTTACCCAGCCAGGTGGGGTCTGTGATATAATGCATGATATGAGCAGCTTACCTACAATACCGGCGCTTCTCAGGAGAAGGTGAATTGAGTAAGCAGACAAGGCGGCGATACTGGTCAGCAGAATCCTGAAGAGCACAGACAATCAAAATCTAAAAATGGCAGAAGTCTCATATTTTGTTTGGTGACTTATACTTAAGGTTAGAGCTGGGTAGGGGTTAAGATCTTCATGTTGGGGTTAGTTACCCCTATAGAAATGAATGGAAAATCCCTAAAAAGATATGATGACAATCCTGTGTGTGTGTGTGTGTGTGTGTGTGAGAGAGAGAGAGAGAGAGAGAGAGAGACAGAGAGACTTTCAGCTGATTTACTCACACGAAGAGGATGATGCCAGTGTTGGCCATGGCGTATGCCAAGCCCAGAATTCCACTACCCATGATGGCATTACTGAGGTTGAAGATGGACATTCCCAAAGAGGTCTTTCCAACAAACTGCATTTGGATAAAGAAACCAAATTTACAACAGGGAAATTATAACACACTTCTTGTGCTTTATTTTGCATAATTCTCAAAATGATCTCCTTTTACAGCATTCACCAAATATTCTGATCTATTCTGCGATATTGCTCTGCAGGGAAATATAACTCTTTCCTCTTTGTTTACAGGACACCTATACTCACGTCAGTAAACTGACTCTGGTTTTGCTCATCAGGCTTATGAGGCAGGAACTCCTCACGTTCTTCTGGAGTGGCTTTGGTATCATGAACCCTTGGCAAAACAGTCACATCTTCATCTGTACACCTATTCAATTTTAGTATTTCAAACGCATTTATTTACAACTTATGCCAATAAAAATAATACTACATTACTATGGCACAATCCTGTTTATTTTTATTCCATTTTATTTCATCACTAGGCCCAACTCACATAGTTTCAATGGTCACATGCTCAGGGTAATGGACGCCATTCGAAGGCTTTTCCAATTCCATGATGTTGCTACTGAGACCAATCAGGTCCTCTGATACAAATTTCCCTGGCAGGAGGGTTTCCTGGCTCTGAAGGAAACCTAGATGGTCTCAGACCTGGTGGGGCTGCAAAGAAAACCAAGAAAAACATGATCTCAGCCAATTTTTGGTCAATATAGTTCTAACATCTTGAAGAAATTCAAAAATATGGAACTTACAGATGTGGATAGAACAAACATATCGCTTGAATGATTTACAGCAAAAGTCTATGACATTACACAAAATAAACTAAAACTTACTATAAAATCTATGATGTGCATTGGAATTGAAAGAAATTACCCAATCATATTATAATATAACGCTTATTTTGACTTGCTCCCTGGTCACAGGAAGGGTCATATATTCATAGTTTTTTCATCACAAAGAATGCCTGCCTCTCTGAAGCACAGTACATAATACAAACACAGTAGAGTCTCGGTCATTTCAGGACACTGGAGATATTTTTGGCAAGAAAAGAAGCAGAGCTGTTTAAGAAAATACATGTCCCTTTTGGCAGAACTACAGAGGTCTGGTAGTGTGAGTTGTTTGCCTGCCTAATCACTGCAGAGCAGGGGGGGGTAGGGCTGCAATAAAGGATGATCCAGGAGCCTTTTGTGTATCGCATGTGCTGTAACGACGGGTGAGTCACCATTTCTCCACAAAATGCCACGCTGCTACAGTGCCCCAGCAAATCTGCCACTTCCTGTTCTCTAGTGTAACACGTCACATCTCCTCTGAAGAACACACTGAACATAGGATTCTATGAAGTCTCCATGAAAATCCCCCCACCCCCCCAGCCAAACAAGCTGTTGAATTTTCCAAGCACTAAGTCACAAATTTATCCCTTCTGTGTATTTTAGTGCAATATGAAAGTTTTCAAGTTTTACTTATGAGTTTATTGCTAGGGACTCAACTGATTGACCTAATGGACTTAAGGAATTACTATTGTTTTGACTGGCGCCGAGGGTGGGGGGGGGGCTGGCTGGCGAATATCGACTGGACATTCTTATTTTTCCAATAACAAAATCTTTTTTGTGGAGTTTCTTCTGGAGAATTTTACAGCGTTCACACCTCACTGAAAATATGACTCACTCATGACTAGTGTTCCCACACAATATTCTACTGTTTGCATTTCCAGAGCATTAAAAAACAGCAGAATTCAACCATGACCTTAGAATTTAACCACATGGGCAACATCCTATTGTTATTAAGAGCCACAGCTGAAACGGGTACGGAGGTTACAGAGTCTCATTTTAATGTCACCAGCCGAGACGTGACTCCTCTCTCTTTTCAAACACTGCTGAAATATGCTTGTAAGAAAAAGAGCAGCAAGACATTTTAGGCCTGAATTCCTGTCACTGATTTCATGTCAGTAAATTACTACTTGCTAATACTGCTCGGCCATTTACTTTGTAGGTTAATGACGAATTTTTATATGGGGCCTCAGTCATCAGTAATTACTGAATAAAGTGTGATTGAGAAAAAGAAGTAAACCAGCAAAAAACCAAAAACTTTTCATGGAAACAGGAGATCACATCTACTCTGTCACACCAGAAAGCTAAATATTTAACACATCTTAAAGCTTTTAACATTTGGCATTAGAACATGTGCTCTGCATGTCTGATAAGAGCCATGATGTTGATAATGGAGTACCCCAGTCTGCATTTCTATATTACACAGCCGAAAGCATATTAATACAAACCGGAGTAGACGTACAAAACCTACAGTCTGTTCACTCATCTCCAGATGCACAAACATCTACAATCTTGGTGTCATTTTCAGTGGTAGCAGCGTCTAACTGAGACCAGATTGTTTGAACATTGTCAGTTTTGAAGCCCTGAATTTATTGGTGCTCTTACACTGTCAAATGTTTCAGATCAGACGCCAGGAGAAACACCCGTTTTAAAATGTTGCAAGTAAATCGCTACTTAAAAGGAGAAAAAGATACCTGATCCAAAATGAACATTAGTAGCATCTGTAACAAAGAGATGGCTAGGAGGAACTTATAAAAGACTGACATACATGCACATTATACAGCCTACTGTCTGATGCAATACTTCCTTACTATTCGCCGATACCAGTTAAGCCAGATCCCACTGGCAAACAGAGACTCTGAAAACTCATTCTTGGATCAACTTACCCTTTCAGCTGGGCTTGGACCCGGATTTGTGACTTTTTCATGTATTCTTAATAACTTGTAACTCCTCCAGCCACATTACAGTGACTGTACTGATCTCCAGCGACGTTAAATTATTAAATTTTTCCTTATTGTCCGAAGCGTACACACACCCACATGCATTCCCGAGGGGAAGCGTGAAAGTGAGATTAAGGCATACGCTTGAGAGAGACAGACAGAGTGTGTGTTAGAGTGAGAGAGAGAGGGAGAGAGAGAGAGAGAGAGGGAGTGAAGAGCTGCATTTTTCTTAACTCCTTTTCTCCCAATGGATCTATGTGATTTTTAAGTATTGTGCTATTCTAACTCGTAAAAATTTTGGAATCTTAGCTAAACAGCTGAAAAGTGATGTACATCTAAAAGGATGAAGGGTCCCTCAAATACAATGTATCCCCAAATGGCACGACGTAAGTCAAAGTCACCCAAAAAAAATATTAAAGACAATTTGATTTAAACAAAGAAGCAGACAATTTGTTGTGTCGCTTCAGGGATTATTTACAAAGACAGCTGGGCGTTTGAGACTAGGTGGGTGATTAGAGTCTCTGAGTAGGTAATTAGCTTAAGAGATCAGTTCTTTTTAAGGGTGGTCACATAGGCAGAAGCAAAATGACGGAAGGATGGCCAAACTCCTACCTTACCAGAACACAGCATGTCTTTACTTGGCCCGAATTAGGAAAGTATGATTCTGGGTTGTTCTATTACATTATAAATCAGACACCATCTCTTTCCCAGCTAATCATCCTGTAAACAGATTTTAGCACTTTTTTTTTAGCTGTGGTCCATGTGTTTTGGGATTATTTCACTTTTTCAAGTAGAGGGTGAACTATCTTGCAGTTTACCATCATGCTCATTTATATGTTTTTTCCACACGCTCACTCACCCCTCAGTAAAAGTACATTCTGCGCTCATTAAATCCTAAGCACATGTCAGCTCTGTAATCCGGAGTCTCCCAGGCACCATGCTATGTGTCCGATCTAACACTTGGGAGCCACAGGACAGGACAGCCTGAGTAGACAGTAAGCTGTATTGCGCTACGTCACAGTGTCACATAAGCCAAAGATTCCTGCAAAATACACCCATCTAATCAAACTGCATAACTAAATATAGGAAGAAATAAACAGCACACCATTCCCAAAGCCTCCACACCAATTTTCCACCCTCACACATAAAAAAAATTAGGCTAAATTGCTCCATGATGAGAGCAGTCTGGCCCTTACGCAGTGCACAGTGTACACAGCCTGTTTGGTTGTGGGGCGTGAGCTTAGTCCCTGTTTATTTTAGCAGGGGCTGCTTCCTTAACACACCCTGGTCCCCCTGTGTCTGGTTTGTCTCAACCCAAGACTCCTGTTCTCTGCTTAAGCACTAGGGCCTCTGTACCACGTCACTGGAGGTGGGGGCGGGGGCTATGTGTTTGTAAACTGGATGGGAATAATCCTTCCATTTGCCCGTTTGCTAGATAATACATGTATCAGTTCATTAAATGTTGGTCTGTAAGAGGAGCTGTGTTACGAGGGCCCAGGAAGCGTTGAGCACCCTGAATACTATCATTAAAAATAAAAAGTATGTCTGCAGCTCGTTATGTTGGAGAACAAAGCTGTCAATCGGACCTATAAAAATCAAGAAATATCACTCGAATAAGTATTACCTGAAAAAAAAATTATGGATATATCCACATTGGATATGTATGATCTCTGGGGTCAGATGAGGTAGCGTGACCACAGACACTCAGAGCTGTTCTAGTGCACACAGTCTCCGTTCTGAAGACAATTAGTTCATTTAGGGGAATAATTAAGTCAATTACTTACTTAAACACTTGGATGAGAAAAACTCCTACATACATAATTACCAGTGAGGAGCATGTGCTCATAGAGACAGCGCTAGCCTGCACTTTTTAGCTGTGGTCCACACACAGCGATCCAGACAGCAAGCAGCCACGCTGGATAACCTCAGGCATGCGTTCCCCAGTAAACACACATGGCTTGTATAAATTCTGTACAGTGGCTGCCCAACTGTCATTCAGCCACCAGGGCTGGAATCACTTTAAGGAACCATCTCCACATCGAACCCTTGATAAGCTCCCCTATCTAACAACTCATTGCTAACCTCCTCCACACCACAGTGACTCAGCTTTTACCAAAATTTACCATTTTTTTTTCTTCTTGATCCCTTAAAAATTGCAATGAAAATGCACCCCCTGGTGGCAGGTCTTTGTAATTAACTGTAAAGTACAGAAATTGTCAGAGGCATATCCCTGCAGCCAGGAGCTTAATGTTGAGTGGGAGTGGCAATGTCGAGTGGGAGGGGCAATGTCAGAGGGGTTTATATGGAGGGACCTGCTATCATCTGATACCCTGACCCTCACTATAAATCCCTCCTACCCCTCGTCATAAAGCCCTCCTACTCAACACTGGCCTCCCCAACTCGACACTCTGCTCCCGGCTGCAGAAATATATACAGTGGTACCTCAGTTCTCGAACTCATTAGAACTCGAATTTCGAACCAACCAATTTGAAAAAAAATTATCTAAAGCTCGTTCTGAATCTCAGAAGTTATACCGTGAACGCCGACGTAAGATAACTTGTATGCGCGGGGAAATGAGTCACGCGGCACGTCTCTCAGCGGAAACAAAAAGTAACGCTTCAGTTTCAGCCTTGCATTCGCTGCGATAGCATCGTGCATGTTCACACTAGCTGAATACATATATTTAAACAGTAAAAATACATTTAGACAATGATACAGTGACAGTAATTATTATATAATAAAATACATTTAAAAATAAAGATTTCTTATTCATTATTTTAATATTAATAATAAACCATTAATACATTTAATTATAATAATTTTGTCGTGCCAAGTGGGGACGGAACGAAGACAAAGGCGCAGACGTCAGGGTATCGGGGAATACAGGGTTTAATTACAGGTAAGGCAGGCAAAACGCAGACGGACAATACAATGACCGAACTAGGGAAACAAACTGAAACGCAGAGGAAATACAGAGGACTAATGACAACCAGAAACAGCTGATCACACGGGGTTAACGAGGGGGCGTGGCACACGGAAGGAGCGGAGGATTGGGGCAGGACACATTTGTTTTTTTTAACTTTACCCATTGTTTGCATACATTTATTTTCTTACTTTACAAATTACTGTTTTGATAAATGTGCTTAGATGTGTTTAGTACAGTAGGCTATATGCTCTTCTTGTTTTATCCGGTTCATTTTGTGTTTAAATGCTAAAAAAAAACATATTTAGGTGTAATTTTTTGGGGGGCCAGGAACCAATTAATTGGTTTTCCATTATTTCTTGTGGGGAAAATTCAATTAGAACTCGAACTTTTTAGGGTTCGATCCGGAGTTCTGAACGGATTAAGTTTGAGTTCTGAGGTACCACTGTACATGAAAATTGTCAGAGTGTGTAGAGGAGAGAGACAGGTGCTATTGATGGGCCTGCCAAGAGAATAATAAGTAGAAACCTAGAGATATTGGAAAGAAATATGACAGACAGACAGACAGACAGATAGATAGATAGATAGATAGATAGATAGATAGATAGATAGATAGATAGATCGGTCCAGCATGTTCAATGTACAGAAAGGTGCAAAAAGTTTGTGAACTTGTGAGCTGTTACATTTCAGGGACTAATTCAGGAGAAAATGCTCCGGCAATGACATGTGCACATTTCAAATACAGTAAACTATGCTTTTAGAAGCTTATTACAATAATTCGCTCAATAATTGCATAATATGGCTTGTGCAATAAAGTATGATTATAACTATAACTATGATTCCTCTCAAACCGAATGCCATAATAATCAAGCAGGGACGGATTATGGGTTGTGTGGGCCCCTGGGCAAAACGTTCGCGAGGGCCTCCCCCCACCACCACCACCACCACCACTAGCACCACCACCACCACCACCACAACCACCACAATTCAAGGGCCCTTGGCAGCCAAACGCCCTCCCTCCATGTTTCCATCAGAGGCCCTTGTAGGCAGACGATCAAAGAATGTAGGCCCTCTAAAATAGATAAACGAAAATACATTGTTGATAAGCGTTGCAAATTGTTTTGGGCTAGGGGCCCCACGGGCCCCCTGCACCCCAAGGGCCACTGGGCAGCGGCCCCGCTGGCCCGGTCCGTAATCCGTCCCTGTAATCAAGGGCTACTTTGTGTGAATGTGGGGTCAAGCACAAGCTCTGCGCGTGACCTAATGACTGCTTTCTGAAAATGACCCAAAACATTAAATCCACATTGCAATTTCTAAGTATTAACACTGGTTGTGAGCTGCACCTATCGGTCCCAGAATTATTTCTCAGGGTTAATTGCAAGTTAAAATGTGAGTGTAGTGCTCAGATCATACAATGATCAGCCCGCAGAAGCTGAACGTGTGACTCTTTTCTGTAGATGCTGGTAGGAAAGTGGTAGGAAATGACAGAATTAACGGATATTTTCATATATTATCCATATATACAGAAGGCATCATCTGAACCGTACCCCAGAATGCAAGAGCTATAAAACCTCAAACCTGTGCCGTTCAGATACGTGCTGTGGTCCAAAACACGCCCTCTTTATCTCTCACTCACACACAAAACTCACATTTGTCTGAATGTCATGGAGATGCAGATGTGTCGTGTGAAAGAACAAGAAACAACATTCTTTATTACGGCATCTCATAGCAGCCGCTCGAGTCGTTTTTTTTTTTTTTTACTAATTCTGTGAAGCATTAAACATTAAGTATAAACACGAAATTTCTTTGTCAAAGCCCTATTTAAACTTTCCATAGCCGTAGGATGAGATCCGTGTAAACTTTTCTGTGTCTAACGGGCTCGTCTGTAACAGTAATAACAATTCAAAAGAGCCAATTACCTGACGTGACACTTAATGTCCTTCAGTCAGATGTACAATTCAGTCACACAGTTACACAGGACATTTCAACATCTTCTAAAAAAATAAAGATTAAAAGGGTCTAGAATTCTTATCGCCATACAATTTTTGAAAAATCTCCTTTTCTGATAGGAACTGTTATTTCCCTTTACGACCCACGTGGCAAATGTAGTAAAGGATTCCTGGCAGATTAGTATGGTTTTTCCCCTCTTACCTTCGCACGGAAGTTTTAACTCGGCGGTCTAGAAGAGCCGATGGTCAGAGGTGTCGAGAATGAATTGAAATGAAATGAAGTTAAATGAAAATGAAATTCTTGTGTAAAATATGAACAGACGGAAGCAGGATGTAGAACGTGGATTGAAAAAAGTGAGCTAAAAAGCGCGGTGCCAAATGAAAAAGGGCAGTTCTTACAATGTGACACCACTTCTGGTATGATGTCACTAATTATAACTGGGAACACCCAGCCTCGCTTCCTCCGGCTCAGAATTCTCTGTGACGCTGACACACGCATCTCTTACCAACAGAAGATCGAAAGTGGCACAAACTTAAAGTGAAAAATGAGAATTGACAAGATAAAATAACATTATAATTCATTTAAAAATCCCAATCTTCACTCGGCTTTATTTTCCACAATATAGTCTGTTCCAGTGCCGGTCGAAGCCCATCTGGCGCCTTAGGCGAGCCCGTTTCACGATCACATCATTCGAATGTGTGCTTTTTCCAGTAAAATCAGATCGAGCTAAAAAAAAAAAAGTAAGTAATGTTTATGTGTATATAATAATTCACTTCATAATAAACATTACTTTTTGTTACTTTTTTTTTTTTTTAGCTCAATCTGATTTTACTGGACAAAGCACACATTCGAATGATGTTGTGTAAAATGAATTAGCACATTAGATGTGTTTCCAGAAAAATATCCAAGTTTGTTATAACAGGGCCAACAGTCGACAGTCTTAATAATAGGTACGTTAGCATCATCGCAAATCGGCCGCCGCCATATTGGTTCCGATAGCGCGTTCGGGATTTTTCCGCCCAGGCAGGGGTATGCCTATTAAGATCTCCTTTTATGGGCAAACATGGAAATTCCCGGGTATCCTTTTGATGACGTAGATACAAGATACCTAGAATTCCCCTTCTTCACCAATTTTCGATTTCCGATTTTTAGGATCGCGGCTTAATCGTGTGGAGTTTTGTGTTCACAAAAACATCCTTCAATTTAATAGAAGGTAGGTAGGAATTCAAATAAATTATGTATAGACTACTAAATTAGATATTCAAGATCAAATTTAGAAAGTTTTGTGAGTTTTGGGCGTCTGTTTTCTAGCGTCAGCAAAAAACGTGTCTACTGAAAATTCCAAAATGGAGGCTGCCGAGCAAGTTTCGATGCTGTGAATATTCATTGTTTTTCTTTGCAAATCTTGTTTCTTCAACAATTAATGGGTACAGAT